ACAGCAAGCTGGAGCAACCATTCTCTGGTATTTATGCATTTTCAGGAACAATTGCTATGAAATTCTGTGCCGTCCGGACATACTACCATTGGCTGCCTCAAGTGTAACTGTATGCCCAATCCACTTTCCAACGGAAACGCATGCAAAACCAGGACATGAATTTTACTTCCATCCCGCGACGCACTACATAATGCTGGAAAGTCACTGATTTGCCCGAGCGCACCATGAAGCCCATTCGCCTAGTTGAACGCCTGCCAGGCTCAAGTCTTTAGCCGACCTGTAACAAGAGTCCATATCTCCGCCGATCTTGCTGTTGAACCGAGCCACTCAGCCACCAGACAAAGCGATTCATAGAATCCATGTCAACTTCATCGGAGCTGAATCGCACCGCTGGTGGAGAGACCACACTGTGTTCCATGCGCTTATCCACAACTCCATGCATGGTCAGCGCACCCGGTGGTGCAGAGCCAGTTATGTTTTTGTATGACAAAGATGGTGGTGGACTAGCAGCAATGAATCAGTTGCGCGAGTAGCATTAATAGAACAGACTGAATCTACCATTCTAGGCATGGCCGCGCAGGACATTTGTATCTTGGAGGGGGCGGAATTGTTGCTTGTCGCTCTGCCTGGGCTTTTGAGGTTTCCAATCTAGTTGTCTGTACAGCACCCACGCAATCAGACGATTTGCCAATCGAGGCCCCATCGGCTGCGTTCTCATGATGGAAGCTAGAGCTAAGCCGCGCATCTTCGATCGTCTTATTGTTTACGGGCGACCCATGCTGGTTTGTCGACACAAGCTCAGTACGAACAGGGAATGTGGGTCCTTCCTGCTGACCGGGGCTGGGCAACGTCAGTCCCTGCAAGAATTGATCATGAGAATAGAACTCACAGCTGAGCCAACAGCTCGGAAGTATCTTTTGAAGACAGGGGTTGGGGAGGGCTCTGAGGGATCTCTTGCACAGAGTGCACTGGAAGGCAACCACTGATGCTTTGCACGAGCCCGCGGAATGCATGATCAAGCGAGGCAAGGCTGAGTATTGGCATCCTGAAGGTAAGTAGCTGGGTTAGATTGTAGAGAAAATACAATGCTCTAGATATCGCATGACAGCGGCTGGGAAAAGGCGGTATGGGTGGCTTTATCATCAATGGTGGTAGATGAGAGGGAGAGCCGACAGTAAAATTTGGAATCAGCATCTCAGCCTGGTAGCTCGATTTGTGACAAAAGCATAAAGGATGCGCGGGCGTATCCTTGGTCGGGGAAACACCGCGTCGCACTGCAGGCCTTCACCTGAAGGCCCAGATCGTGGCCCTTAGGTAGAGTGGAGAGAGTCACCGCATTCTGTGATCCATCCGGTAAACTCGCAGGAATCAGCCTGATTCTTGAGGGACAGGCGAGATCCTCATCCCATACCAGGGAGCAGAGCACGCTCACGCGGAGTAGGAGTCAAGCAAGCCCACGCGCTTTCCAACCGGCCTGCGCAGATGACCCGTATCTGCAAGAGTCAGCCTGACCCTGCAGGGGTATTTGTCAACCTCGTCAAGCCAAAATGTTCAATAGGAAAACTCAAAATGGCTCTATTCCTGGTTCAGCAGTTAAAGTGGCCCACGCCAGCTTAACAGTAAAACCAGGAACGGCGCCTCTTTTGACCCCCAAAGCTTCAAGACATTTGTGCTGCTGTTCCCTCCATCACCTCAACCTCGCAACAATGGGCGCCGAAATCAGCAGCGAACTGGCGGCAACGGTTCAAGCTGCCTGTGACCGCGTTGGCCCTACAGGCCGCATCGATGATATACTTCAGAAAAATCCCTTGGTAACTGAACCATGTTTCTGGTGTACTGTGCAATGTACTGACTTCCTAAGTTTCTTTGCCAGCTTGAAAGCCTCTTAAAAGTGCTTCCAACTTCTTTACGGAAGCTGGTCACTAGAAACCAAGGCAGTGGGGACGGAAAGGGTAGATTATCAAGACATCGTGCATACAAATTAATATCAACTGGTGCCGCACCGAGGCTCGCTCCTGGCGTTGAAAAACATTTGCTCAACTGGCATCATGACCCAAGCAGCGCCTTCCAAACTCCAGAAAAAATCGATGAAGGGGAGACTTTCTTTGACACATTTATTGGCGAACTTTACCGCTTAGATTGTTCACGCAATACTAATACTGTCAAATGGAGGCTCTTTCTCACATGTTTGGCCCGTTTCAAACGCAAATTCAGGGACCAGAGACTCCGGGGAGGCCGTGATGATTTTATGAACATTATTTCTGGACTTGCAATCTGTCGCCGTTACCCAAAAATTGCTCAGTCCCTACCACGGTTCTCTGGCATCTCAGACAGATATGACAAGCTGGTGGTGGACCTCGACGATGAGGGAGTTATTGCCTGCCTTCCTGACCTTGGGGATGATATGTAAGTAACCTAAATATGAGGAGAACTGGGCTAATTTGTTTCAATGGAGTGCAGTTGGGAACATCGCCTTCCAATGGAAGGTGAGGTGCGCACTGAGTGTCTTAACTGGCTTGTGGAAAACGGGATCAAGGAGGAAGCAAATTCTAATATCGGCAATAGTGCTACGGGGCATGTCAGTGCGCATACCAGTTGCTCCTCGGTCATCCAGTACATTGCTCGTTGTTTCGATGACTGTATCTTCATTTCCTTTCAACCCCCATTAACAAACATCAGACACGGGGGCGCCAGCAACTCCCAGGATGGCCGTGCGACTAGGAGGCCTGAATCAAACGCGCCGGCGGTTCCTGCATCATGTTTAGGCAAGCGACAGCGCGTGAGCCACAATGTTACGCGGAGTGAAGGGCGAAGAACGCCGCAAACTTGGACCCGTGGGGAGGCGACCGAACCCAGGCGGCAATCGTCCCCAGAGAATCAGCCATCACAACTAGGGTGTGATGCCCAGCGATCTCCCAGGGAAAATGATGCTATCTTGCCAAACACGGCGCGACCGCCTGCAGCCACATCGTCCGACTTAGACCCAAATTTTACAATCAACCCCACATCCTTGGATAAATCAGCCCCATATCAGTCGCCCCAGAGAACAATAAGTATGCTATATCATGAGGTAGATTTTATGAAATACTAACAGCATATAGTTCGAACAAATACAAATACAAATCATGAGTATGATCCGTTCGTCGGTGCCAATCCAAGCTCCTCACCAATGCCTAGAGGACATGACCCAAGCTTCCCTGAGCCAAACGCTATATCACCACAACAGAGAAACTCTCAGCCATTTGGAGATCTTGACTTCGGAAGCTTTCCGCCTTTCGGAGATCTTGACTTCGGATTATATAACAGTGTCTAATAGCAACCTCGAGCGGGCTATTTCGGGTTTTCGTTCCTTTCTTCTGCCATTCCTTCTTTATTCGTATGCTGGAAATGTTCAGCATCCTCCCGTGGCACACCGATCATAAGGAAATTCAATACGCCATCAATAAAAACATGATCCCGGAAAACGACAGATGTTCCAACACGAATTTCTTTTGATATCGAACCCGGGGACCCAGGATACTCGGAGTGTACCTTCGTAAGACCATCCGATATGTGAAGCGGATAAATATATAGTATGCGTTTAAGGCGGCTATCGTGGACACGGGTTGGTTTGTTGTTGTCTTCAGTACGGAATAAAGATACTTGTGCAGATTGCGGGTGGTTCTATTTTCGTAAGTCAGATAAAACTATGCGAAGAGCTGATAAGCATACCAATTTATCAATTAAAACTTTGAATTCCTGTTTGAATGTTTTGTCGATGTTCAAGTAGACATCACCCTGTTTCACAAAATGAGTTGTAGAGGCAAGCCATTTTTGTCGAGCATCGACAAGACCCTTTAATTCCTCTGACAGCTGTCTAATTTCAATTTGATTTGCCTATGACTAACATTGAGTGTGGTGGATTTCGATTATTACGGCGGGGTTTTCATACCTTGGAACCGGCTTTCTGCTCACTCTCTGATTGACCTTCCATATTGTAGCTAGCGCGGGTGCCTCAAATATCGTAATACAAGCCTAGGAGCCTTTATATCTGGATGGTGGCTTTGGAGAGAAAATTTTCCTTTTGAAGCAATTTTTAGGCTACCCCGCTACGTCATGGCGGGGCAATAGGAACACGCGGCGGCAAGTGGCCACATGACTGATAAGAAGAAGGTTGTATCCAGATGTTTTTCACCTCAGAAATGCCTTCACGTACACTTTATGCATCAGTACCTAACATCTACCTTTATCGGCGGGTAGGACATGTATATTTGCGTGCGATCACTGGCGTGCTTGCCCAAAGCTGCGGAGCTTGAATCTACTGGGCGTGGGTCGGCTTATCTCGCCTCTTCGGTTGGAAGACAGCACATTTTGACAGACTTCCGGGCAGGAGGCGGGAAGTGGTCATGTTTTGAACTCACCCAATTGAGATTTGCAGACTATGAATGCATGAGCCTACAAGGCACCGTATGGAAAATAGCGTACGTCTCAAAGGGGCGATGAGCTTGATGCTACTGAGTTGTTCAAGGCATAAAGGAGCAAAATGCCGCCCAGTTTATCAACAAGACAACATATCAGCCTATGAAAAATCTTAATAAAAATAAAAATTAAACAAAATATTTAAATACTAAAATTATAAGATTTGACATAAACAACTATCCTACTCGCCGTGATACCTCGTTGAACATTACACTAGTCAAACAGATAAATTACTATTAGTCGAAGGTATATCAGTCATCATGTACCCAAAAGTACTTAAATGTCGGCAGCTTAAAGAATTTATCTTGTATAACTATCTCGCCACCGGTGTCCGCATTAC